TGCCATCTGCTGGAAAGAAGACGTATTGCTCTGTTGGCGTTGTTTAGACAACAAAAACAGAATGAAGCTCTCATTTCATCAACAATCTTTGAGTACAGACACCGTCCTGCAGAGAGCACACAACCCAATGTATTCCCTTACCAACACACTTGGTCTTTTTAAACGATTACCCCATTTAAATATTTTGTCACAAACTTTGCAGATCTATCTTTCCTCTCCTGTGTGGATTCTCATGTGTGACTTTAAATGTCCACTCCGTGAAAAAACGTTCTTACAGACTGTACAGCTGAATGGTTTCTCTCCTGTGTGGATTATCGCGTGGTCCTTTAAACTTCCACTATGTGAAAAAGCTTTCTTACAGACTGAGCAGCTGAATGGTTTCTCTCCTGTGTGGACTCTCATGTGTGACTTTAAATGTCCACTCCGTGAAAAAGCTTTCTTACAGACTGAGCAGCTGTGTGGTATCTCTCCTGTGTGGATTATCATGTGGTCCTTTAAACTTCCACTATGTGAAAAAGCTTTCTTACAGACTGTACAGGTGAATGGTTTCTCTCCTGTGTGGACTCTCATGTGTCTCTTTAAATGTCCACTCCGTGAAAAACCTTTCTTACAGACTGAGCAGCTGTGTGGTATCTCTCCTGTGTGGATTATCATGTGTTCCTTTAAACTTACACTATGTGAAAAAGCTTTCTTACAGACTGAGCAGCTGAATGGTTTCTCTCCTGTGTGGATTCTCATGTGTGACTTTAAATTTCCACCATGTGAAAAAGATTTCTTACAGACTGAGCAGCTGTGTGGTATCTCTCCTGTGTGGATTATCATGTGTTTCTTTAAACTTACACTATGTGAAAAAGATTTCTTACAGACTGAGCAGCTGAATGGTTTCTCTCCTGTGTGGACTCTCATGTGTGTCTTTAAATTTCCTCTCTGTGGAAAAGCTTTCTTACAGACTGAGCAGCTGAATGGTTTCTTTTCAGCACTACGTTGTGGATCACTGACAGATTCATGTCTATTTTTCAGTGAGTTTGAGCCTGAGGCAGGTTCTCTGGTCTCTTTCCAATCAGCACTGTCTTCAGTGTCAGGTTCAGAAGAGTCTCCAGTGTCAGGTCCAGAAGAGTCTCCAGTGTCAGGTTCAGAAGAGTCTCCAGTGTCAGGTTCAGAAGAGTCTCCAGCCTCAGGTTCAGAAGAGTCTTCAGTGTGGTCCTCAGTCTTTGGTTGTAAACTGCTCTCTGGATCCGAGTTCCTGGCTGGTTCTGATCCTCGACAGTCCTCTCCATCAACTTCTGATTTCATGTGTTCAGTTTGTCTTTGATGAGGCTGAGAGGACTGAGGTTTCTCTTCATCATCTTCACTCTTCACAGGGTCAGGAGTGAAAGTGGACTTGGTGATATCAGCCTCCTCCAGCTCCTGAAGCTGCTCTCCCTCCTGTTCCAGCTTAATATGTGGGGGGGGCTCTGGGTCCTCCTGGTCCAGACTGGTGCTGCACTCCTGCTGGTCAGGGAGAACCTCTTCTTTAACCACCACCAGCTGCTGGACGTCTGCAGGAAACAGGAAACACAGTCAGAAGAAACAGTTAAGTGTTAGCATTTAAAACCTCATCACCATTACAATGGGAGACATTTTGCAGCCCTAATGAATGCCTTAGTTTTTATATTTTCACATTATCTTTCTTATTCCCACCTATTGTGTATTTGTGTTGGCTCAAGTCACCTCATGTAGCCCAGCCCCTTTCCACTTCCAGTTCAAAATGTAAAAGGGTTTTTTCTTCTGGCGTAGCACTAGCCGCAATGTAAACAAGGAATTGTATTTGGGATCGTTCACAGATACACTACGCCTACAGTATAGAATGAAAATACTTTGTTACAAAGTAAAATCCTGCATTCAAACCTTATTTAAGTAAAAGTATGCAAGTATTAACAGAACATTTGACGGCACCTTCCTATGTAACAGTAATGATGGTGCAGTAAAACGTTCCCTGTCAGTGTTTAATTTATGTTGTTTCTTGATTATTTTGTATGTTGCATTTTACTGCTGTACATGTTCAAATATGCGCTTTTATAAATGATTATGGATGAGGGAACCTGCTAAATGTTCAAATATGTGTTTTTTATATAGAGTACCAGTCAAAGGTTTGGACACCTTCTCATTCAATGTTTTTTGCTTATTTTAATTTGTTTCTACTTTGTAGATTAACACTGAAGACATCACAACTATGAAAGAACACATATGTAATTAACTAGTTAATAAAAAAGTGTTAACAAATCAAGAATATGATTTTTATTTTCGATTCTTCAAAGTAGCCCCTTTTGCCTTGATGACAGCTTTACACACTCTTGGCTTCTCTCAGTCAGCTTCATGAGGTCGTCACCTGGAATGGTTTTCTATTAACACTTGTGCCTTGTCAAGAGTCAATGTGTGGAATGACTTGCGTTCTGAATGTGTTTGAGACCATCAGTTGTGTTGTGCAGAGGTAGAGTTAGTGCACAGTGGAAAGCCCTATTTGACTGCTGTTGTAATCCATATTATAGCAAGAACGACTCAACTCAGTAAAGAGAAGCGACCGTCCATCATCACTTTAAGAAATGAAGGCCAGTCGATCCGGAAAATGTCAAGAACTTTAAATGTATCCTCAAGTGCAGTCGCAAAAACCATGGAACGCTATGATGAGACTCTCATGAGGACCCCCCGGGAAAGGAAGAGCAAGAGTTACTTATACTTTACTGGTGTCACTGTTGGTGATTTATTCAGAGTTCAAGTCACCCTTAACCAGCATGGCTAACACAGCATTCTGCAGTAGCCAGCAAAATATAAATCATATTCTGGATTTGTTAACACTTTTTTGTTAACTAGATAATTCCAGTTAAAGGTGGGGTAGGTAATTTTTAGAAACCGGTTGGAGATACACTTTGTTATATTTCATGGAATGCCCTTAACATCCCGATAGCAATGAATATCTGAAGTGCTTTGACAAAAGTCCATAAACAAATATCATCTGTGGAAGCCGTAGTACTCTAAAAAGCACGACCAATCATCTGCGCCGGCCGGGCTAAAATAACTGGATGGCCGACCTGCCTGTCAGCCTTCCATCTGTGCACACACTTATCTCGTGCCCTCATTGGTCATGTGCGCGTTCGTGTGTGTTGGAGGAGGGGCTCTGTAAGGAAGTGGCAGATTTTTCCAGTTGTGTATTTTCAAATTATAGCGCACTCAAGCTGGTTTCTCCAAAATTACCTACCCCACCTTTAATGTGTTATTTTATAGTTTTGATGTCTTCAGTATAAATCTAGAAAGTAGAACCAATTTAAATAAATAAAAAACTTCGAAAGAGAAGATGTGTCCAAACTTTTGACTGCGTCTAATACTAGTGTATATCTCTCTCAAAATATATATATACAGAATATATTATAAATACATGTTGGCAATAATTGATTGATTGATGAGATTTTACATTAATTTATATTAATGTTTTAATTACTTAATGACCTTTGTACTAGTTCCCCTATTCTTTATCAAGTAACATTTTAGATGTGTTTAATTTATTATTGAACATATTTATTAGAGATGCTCTGATCGCCAATTTTGGGGCCGATCGCTAATCGCCGGAATCAGTATCGGCCGATACCGATCACCGATGATCGAGTGAGCGGGGCCTATGGGGATCTTCCATTTAAAGTGATGTTTAAAACTCAGTTAATGGGGCTCATTCACTGGAGCTTCCACAAACAACAACCAACATAATTATTACATTCAAATGAAGTACATTATTCAAGTTTACATTAACTGTGGATAATAACACGGGAGAAATGAGCAGAAGTGCTCTCTCTCTCTCCCCCTCTCTCTCTCCTGACAGCCTGCACTGAAATAAACGACTTGTAGGATTTACTTGATTAAATCTTAGCAAGTATTTGCACTTAATTTTTTAAGTATATTTTACTGCTGTAATATCAAGTAGAACTTACTTTCCAGTATCAAGTAAGATGTACTTATCACCAGACGTAACATTTGTGAAAATATTAAGTAAATCTTACTTAATAATGTTTAAGTTACACGTTATATTTATTTGAACTAATTAAGTAAAGTCTAATTATTTTCTTCATGGACAGAAACATCACTGTTATCAAATTATTAAGTAAATATTATGTATCTGTAATAGTTATTGTTATGAAGTAAATAAGTAGATTTTATTACATTACATTGCATTTAGCTGACGTTTTGATCCAAAGCGACTTACAATAAGTGCGTTCGACCAACAAAATACAACTTGAAGAAAACAGAATCATATAAGTACATCAGGCTTCATAGAGCAAAAACATTTCAAGTGCTACTCAACTGGCTTTAGATAAGCCAGCCCTTTATTAGTATATAAGTGCTTTGTTAATAGTTCTATCGCTCGAAGTGGAGTCGAAAGAGATGAGTTTTCAGTCTGCGCCGGAAGTTGTGTAAGCTATCTGCTGTCCTGATGTCAATGGGGAGCTCATTCCACCATTTTGGAGCCAGGACAGCAAACCCACGTGTTTTCGCTGATGGGAACTTGGGTCCCCCTCGCAGCGAGGGCGCAACGAGTCGTTTGGCTGATGCAGAGCGTAGTGCACGCGCTGGGGTGTACGGTTTAACCATGTCCTGGATGTAGGAAGGGCCAGATCCATTCGCAGCATGGTACGCAAGTACCAGTGTCTTGAAGTGGATTCTAGCAGTTACCGGAAGCCAGTGAAGGGAGCGGAGGAGCGGAGTGGTGTGAGAGAATTTAGGAAGGTTGAAGACCAAACGAGCCGCTGCATTCTGGATGAGCTGCAGAGGTCGGATGGCACATGCAGGTAGACCAGCCAGGAGGGAGTTTTATCATATTTTTTTTCTGTTTAAAATGTTGAATTAATCATTTGTTTCAAGTTATATTACTCACTTTAAATTATGTAATTGTTACTCATTTAGTTTTGAAAAATGTTACCTAATAAATGTAATAATCTATGCATTTAATATAGATTGAGCACAAATCACACAACTAAAATACAATAAAACTTTATTTTGTCAACAATTCAATCACTATTAACCGACAACATTAACATTATAATAATATTAACTTATCAAAAAATATATAAAATAAAAATATCACTGCCACAAAACAAATCTCCTCCATCATAGATTTGGAGTGGTGCTTTCTAAACATTCAATACAAACGTTTATTTACCTAAGGAGGGGGGGGAAACATATAATAGAATATGAATAGACGGCAACAACTGTAATCCGTGTGAGAGAGAGAAAGAGGGAGAAATGTTTATACTGAGAAAGAAAAAAATGGCAGAGGGGGGAGACAGAGATTGATACAGCTCCCTGAAACTGAGCAATTGCAACATGGACAGTGGACGGTACATATGAAGAAGTCAGTTGGGATGTACGATCCAAGATTGTTTTTTGCCATGTCTTTAAGACAGCAGGTTCACCTTCAAAGCTTGTACTTTTGGGGTCAGCTTAATCCCATCCAGTCCGAGAAAAAGTTTCTGGAACACCTCAAAAGTGTAGCGCAGTGTTGGGGGGTATGCCAGGGTTAAGGCATAAATCAGCCCCATAAGCAGCGTGCATGGCTCGGCAGTACTGCCGCATCCTGGCATCATCTCTCTGCCTTCAAGCAGGAGGGCTGCATCCACTGGATCCTCTCCATTGGCACCATGGACAACCAGGATCTTCAGGACGTGTTCAGTTGCATCACTGCGGCGTCCTCCTGCATACAATTTACAAGAAAAATGAAGTGAGAAACATAGAATGCTTGAATCATTCAAAGTGACTTCATTATCAGGGCAGAATCAACACATGTGCTAAAGACCATCATTAACTCTGAGACCCTAGGGCCCTAATCCGGGCCGGACAATTGTACGGCCCGGATAGAGTAAAGAGTAAAGATCTCTAGAGTAAAGATGATATCATATGAAACTAGGATCTGAGGAATCCATTGGTGCCTTGTCCAACCCATGTCATGCTGGTCAGCAAAGAGGCTAAATAACGCTGCAAAGATAGGCAACATTTTGACGAGGGGAAAATGACATGACCATATTCAAAGGGGTAATCCTCTGACCTTTAAGCTCAAGATATCTGAATGAAAATGTGTTCTCTGGAACCTTCTTTAGGTGCATGGGAGTGTTTTTTTTAAATTATCTGGTAAATTACAGTTCATGTTAGCTAGCTAACAGCACGGTGAATGATGTGGCGAGTATTTTAGATAATAAACAGAGTTGTGCAGCTCTATTTATTGACCTTTCAAAAGCGTTTGACACCGTCGATCATCACATCTTAACATATCTAAAACATAATCTCTCAACTTTGTGAGCTAATGCACAGAAACGTTAACATGATTCAAGCAAACAAGAATCAGGCTATTATGCACAAAGACACATATATTATCATAAGTCTTAAACAGAGAGACAATAACTTACCAACACTTCTTTTTCCAGCCATGTAGCTCCTCCGACAGCCTTCAAAGTGCAAACCCAACTGAACCGTCGTCCAAAATCGCCGGTATCTTGTTTTGTCAAGACGCGCGGATTCAAACAGCTACTATGGTTTTAGATTAACATTTACTTAATATTTTAAGGTTTATGAGCAGTGACTATTGTTACGACCCGTCCCCCTACCAAGTGGTAGTGGCTCGTCGGAAGACCCGTAACATAAAAACAAACCACGCCAAACACAGAATATCGTTAACGACGGGCATTTATTGTCAGCACAGTCGTAACTTACATGTCTACCGGCAAAACGGAACCAAGTCTGGAGGACGGCAAAAAACAAACAAAAAGGAAGAAGGGGGCCTGGGCCAGCCACACCATGGGCCGTAGGACCCAGCCTCCCTCCTCTAACACAACCTACTGGGAAAAAAACAAAGCCGCGAAAAATCCTAAACTAACATCCTCCAGAGTTCACACAATATAAGACAGCAAAAGAATAATGGATCCACACGTGGGGTGAGAGGAAATCCACGGATATAATCCCTCGGTATCAGGACAGGAAAAGAGACCTCTTCTCCTCCAGCTTCTCCTTTTAAAGTCCCCAGCTGAATGTCATTAGGACACCTGGGGGAGGCGGAGCCAGGGGCGGACCAGGTGTACCTGCAGAGAGACAGAGAAAAGCAACACAAGCACATAACACTATAAATCATTTAAATAGTATATATTACTGGTGCACGATAATTATCCGCCCGATAATTATCGGTCCGATATTAGGAATTATGACGTCATCCCGATAAACCCGATACAAGTATTAATAGCCCCGATAATATACAATATATTTTTTGGGTAAAAAAAAGAAAAAATACTGCGGTGTGGGTGGATTGGGATGAGGGGCGCTTGTTTTTCACTCGGCTCCTCCCGTTTTGCCAGTACTGTGGTATTAGTGGTTTAGGAAGAGGGGAGTTTTTCACAAATCCAGCGCTCCCTAACTCATGCCTGGCTGTGACGTAAATGGTGTGCGGCCGTGAAGCCAGGACAGTAAACAAACATGTCGTCGGTAGTATGGGACTATTTCAAAGTTTCAGAGTTAGATAGTTCGCTTGCTATTTGTATTAACAAATGCAGAAGTTCCACGAGGAGGGAAAAAGGCAACGAGCTATAATACTTCCAACCTGATTAGTCACCTGAAACATCGCTACGATGGTGTGTTAAAAGCGTACGAAGACACCTGCGCTGCTAAACTAGCGGCGAATCCAAAGCCAGCTGCAAAGGCACCGGGGCTTTTACCTATCGACGAGGCTTTTGAAAAAGGCAAGAAGTTTGCCAGAGACGACCCCAGGGTTAGTTTTGTTCATAGTAGTAATGCTCATGTCCTTTGCTCACTACTAGTCTTTTTTTACCACCAGGTGTGCAAAAACTACAGGTACATTTAATATATATATATATATATATATTATATTATTATCGGTTATCAGTATCGGTCTTGAGAAGCAGGAAGTTATCGATATCGGTTTCAAAAAACCAATATCGTGCATCCCTAGTATATATATAATAAAACGTACTCCTCCCACACTGTAAATGTATTACATAAATAAAAGGTGTATAGATTTAAAATGTTCTAGTTCTTTGTGAATCTTGATATTACCATGTAAAAAGTACGACTTAATTAAATGTATTTTACTACACCAAAAAGTCAGTTTTTTGTGTGTGTCAGTATCTCATGCAGCTCACTGATCCAGTAATGAGTGACCCGACAGTGAAGAATAAACATATATTTAGCTTGTTCCAGAGGTAGATGAAATAAGTAAGTGTGTTAGGTCTAACTCTTACGGCCCGTCCACACAGCGGCGTGCGTTTAAGCTTGGCGGTGGGCATGTCTGAAGCTTGGGGAGTTCTCGCGAGCAACGCGACCAACAACCAATCACATGAATCTCCCGCACCCGACATACAGTTTACGAAGTAAACTGGATATAAACTCCGCAAACAGGCGAAAACCAACCAGTTTCACCCACTATCTCTGCCACCTCCCTCCATGCCTGGCTCCTCCGGTTTTTATCCCGGTAGGTGAACAAGACCGGGTGATTCCCTACCGCTATGATTAATTTCTCCTCCATTTTGTGGAATATGAGGAAATGACCTAAGGTGTGTCTCTCCCAGCATACACGTGGTTTGATTGGCTAGCGCTTGTATTGGCAGATTTGCATAAACGGGATTTGATTGGCTGACGCTTCCACCGAAGCTTCAGAAGCTTCAAAAGTTGAACATTTCTCAACTTTTGCAGCGAGCCACGCCAGCAAAGCTCCGCTTCCCACAATGCAGTTCGGCAAAAAGTGAAGTCACCCCATTCAAGTGAATGGTGAAGCTTTCAACGCATGCCGCCGTGTGGACGGGCCGTTAGTGTGTGTTTCGCTCCGCTCACCGGTCCGTCACAGCGGGTGGAGCTGCAGGATTTCTGCTTCACACACGTTGCAGAGGCTACCGCTATTTTGTTGTCCTTTTCGGACACCTTAAAATACTGCCAGACTGGTGAAGCCATTTTGGTGAGCTTGTTTTGAGAAAAGTGTCATGTATTTTACGTCATCATTTTACATCATGCGATCGGCTCTGGCGATCGGCATTTTTAGAGAGCCCGATCGATCGGTAGAGAGTGGCCGATCGATCGGAGCATCCCTAACAAGTATTTTTTTTTTGTTGCTTTTACACATTTAAAAAGAAAAGGTGAATAACGAAGCACATTAAAACTAAAGTATCAATGTATGTCACATTTAACCAACTAGTGCCCACATGCATGGGACATATTTAAATCAGTACATTAAATGGCATATTATTCAATGTATGTATTTTTATAAATATCAATTCAAATTCAAAACCTTTATTTATCCAGGTAAAATCCCATTGAGATCAATTATCTCTTTTTCAAGGGAGACCTACAGCAGTAGGTTCCACAAGAAGACATACAAACTAGGGCCGGGACTCGATTAAAAAAATGAATCTAATTAATTAGAGGCTTTGTAATTAATTAATTGAAATTAATCGCATTTTGAATCACATATAAATATTTGACCTGAGAACAGTGAGAAGCAATTTTGTTCACATGGATTTTAGTAAACCATTAGGCGCATTCACACCGCAGTACTTTTCCCACAAAGGTTCATGAGAACTTAATTCATGAGAACTCTTTGAACCTGGGGGTGGATTAGGCAAATGAAGCCGCTGACGTCACTTTTTCTTCTTCTGCTTTGGTTTTACTGGCAGGCCGCAAACCACTTCACGGCGTATACTGCCGCCCAAAGTCCCCGGCCGGAAGTCCCCGGAGTTGGGGACTGGCTTCAGTAGAAGCTGCTGGGAGTCCCAGCAGCCTTCCGAGTAAATCGCCAGAACACCGACACCTCCTCATCTCCACCGCTCCCATGTTTTATTTTGTGTTGCCATAAGTTAGTCTCTCTGCGTTTCTGTAATGGGCTAATGCTAATAATGCTAATGCGAGGATAATAAAATGGCAGCTTCACAAAACTTTTTGGGAGTTTTACGGGGCGTGGTTTGCAATCCGCCCAGCCAATCAGACATATAGCTCTTTTCTCACAAAAGAGCCGTACGAAAGTCCCTGCTCTCTAGCAGCTCTCTGCTCTCTAGCAGGGACTTTCGTGGGGGTAAAAAGGTTCTCATGAACTAATTTTAGTACCGGCTCTTTTTGGTGTGAACGCGATAAAAGAGGCTAACGTCCACACTAGCTTCCACGCTAGCTGCTATATGTTTTGCATTGAGGTGATACTTGAGGCTTGATGTGCTGCGGTGATATGCAAATTCCTTTTTGCATAATTTGCACACAACCGTGCTCTTATCGACGCTTCCATCCGTCCGTTTTTTAAAAACAACATTTCCCACTGTTGTTCACTGTGGTTTGTTGTTGTCTGAAGTCATGAACGTTAGTTGGTGCTCCAGTATAATCGGTACGCCTGAAACTCATCCAGTGAGAAACGTTCCGCGGTGCAAAAATAAGTGCGATTAAAATGCGTTAATTTTTTTAACGCGTTAATTTTTGTGTAATTAATTAATCTTAATTAACGCGTTAAAGTCCCGGCCCTAATAAAAACATAAACAACAGAACAACAAAAGGACATCATACAGCAAAATGTACAGGGATTACAATTTACATATCTAACCACATGTACAGGTACCAACAGCATCTGATTTTGTAGCATCCAACCGAGCTTTAAAAACATGTAGTGGTACTAGCTTGGTAATTTTCCATTCCTTTTGCAGACTGTTCCATGTTAGTGGAGCTGCACATCTAAAAGCTTTCTTCCCTAAGACAGTCCTAGCACTTGGCACATTTAATAAAACCACAGCATGCGATCTCAGGAAGTACTTTCAATTCGCAGAGAGATCAGGGAGCAGATATAAGATGGTAGTTTATCCAACATGGCTTTGTAAATGAAAAAGTACCAGTGACTGAGCCTCCGTACAGTAAGTGATGGCAAAACCTTCTTGGTATACAGGGTACAGTGATGCGTAAGTGCTTTACAATTTGTCAGAAATCTCAGTGCACTGTGATACGCAGCATCTAACTTGCTCAGGTAATTGGCAGGTGCATTCATATATAACAAATCACCATAATCCAGCACAGGTAAAAAGGTCACAGTGACTAGCCTTTTCCTGGCCTCAAGCGAGAAACAGGACTTATTTCTGTAAAAGAAACCTAGCCTAACCCTCAGCTTTTTAAGCAGGTTATTTACATGAAATTTAAAAGTGAGACAGTCATCAAGCCAGATACCCAACTATTTGTAACAGGTAACCACTTCAAGTTGTATTCCTTACGTAGTTACAATATCCAAAGCAGTCTCTGGTGTATTTTTAGCTTTAGAAAAGAGCATTACCTTGGTTTTATCCACATTTAAAAGAAGCTTAAGCTCAGAGAGCTGAGCCTGAATAATGTTAAAAACAGTCTGTAATTTAACAACAGCCTCGTTAATCGAGGGACCTGCACAGTACTTACTACATAAAAATGTAAGGTAGCTTCATTCACATTTTCACCTTTCAACTGTTGATGTAGATGGAGAAAAAAAATTGACCTAAAACTGAACCTTGTGGTACACCATTTGCAATGTTCAACCACTCAGAAGACAGCCCATCAAAGTGAACACATTGGGACCTTTCAGAGAGGTAGTTCACAAACCAACCCACTGCATGGCTGGATATGCCAATACTGACCAGCCTCTGCTTCAAAATGTGATGATCGACGGTATCAAAAGCTTTGGATAGGTCAACAAATAGAGCTGCACAACTCTGCTTATTATCTAAAATACTCGTAATATCATTTACCACTTTCATTGTGGCAGTGATGGTGCTATGTTGCTTTCTGAAGCCTGACTGATGTTTAGACAGGATGTCATTGTTACATAAAAACACCTTTACCTGCTCACTCACTAAGCGTTCAAGAACCTTGGCCAGAACTGACAATTTAGAGATTGGCCTATAGTTATTTAATAAGGTGGCCTCCCCTCCTTTTAGCAAAGGCAGGACATAAGCTGACTTCCATACTTTTGGGATTTTGTTGGTGCTGAGGGAGAGGTTAAAAAGAGTAGTAAGAGGTGGAGCAATAAAATCTGCAGCTATCTTTAAAAAGAAAGGTTCTACGTTGTCCGGGCCAGCCGGTTTCTTATGATCTAGCTTGGTTAAGACTTCCCGAACAACATCAACAGTAAAAGGAGTAAAACTGAAAGGGTTTTCCAGACCACATTGTTCTGAGTCACCGACTGTGGTGTTCACAGAAGCAGAATTAGAAACAGAATGAAACAGAGAGTCACAGGACACAAAGTGCTCATTAAAACAATTTAGTATGGTGGCCCTGTCCGATATAGAGCCAGATGCTGTGGTAAGGCACGGAGGTAGCTCATTACGGATATCACCGGTGGATATCGATTTTATGGCTTTCCAGAATTGTCTAGGGTTGTTCAGGTTCTTTGTGATAACTGACAGATAGTACTTAGATTTAGCACTTTTGACATTTGAAGTGAAGCTATTTCTTAGCTGCCTAAAACGCAGTCATTCTACCTCTGAGCCTGATTTCCTAGCCTTTGCCCAGGCCTTGTTTCTCTCATGTAGGATACTAGATAATTCAGCAGAAAACCAAGGATTGTCTCGTCCCTTCACTCTAAATTTACGCAGGGGTGCATGTCTATCTATAATTTCCATAAAACCAAGATAAAAATAAGACCATGCGGTTTCTACATCAGCACACAGATCGATGTTCCCCAATCAAACCCAAACAGATCATGCACAAAACCCTGCTCCACAAAATGTTTTGTATCTCTCTTAATGATAATGCGAGGTTTAACCTTTTGGACCTCAGTGTCCCTAATTGTTGCTACAACACAGTGATCACTCAGATCATTTGCAAATACTCCAACAGATGAATATTTATGGGGAACATTAGTTAAAATGAGATCAATTAGGGAGGATTTATTAGGGGACTTAATGTTAGGGCGAGTAGGACTGTCAACAATCTGAGTAACATTTAAAGAGATACAAAGGTTTTTAAAATCCTCTGACACTGCAGTTAACCAGTCCCAGTTAAAATCTCCAAGTAGCACTATTTCCTTGTAGTCTAGTTGTGATAAAAGATTTTCTAGTGAAGACAAGGAGTCTTTGACAGCTGAGGGGGGTCTGTAACAACTCACTACCATGACCTGTTGACCCTTTGCCTCTTCTATATTTATGGCTAAAAATTCAAATTGCTTACTGATAGATTTGGGGCTAATATATTTATTTTGGTAGGTTTGTTCTTCCGTAATTCATTTAAATTATTATAATAAAGTACATGTGTATAATAATACTTACATAATTTAACTTACGATATGAATGCAGTACTTTTACTTGTAATGGAGTATTTTCACAGTGTGGTGTTTGTACTTTTACTTCAGGATGTACTGCCTGCAGCAAGTGCTGATAAAGGATCTAAAGTGTTATTAATGTGATAATAAAGTGCTACTGAAGAGTGTAAAGTGTTAATTAAGGGTAAAGGGAACAGACCTGCTCTGTGGATCCGAAGCTGAGGCTGTAAAACAGCGTCCAGTAGTTTCTGGAGTCTCTTGTTCTCCTCTTTGGAAAGAAACAGCTCCTCCTCGAGCTCTGCTATTGTTTGTTCAAACAGAGCAAATATCTCTTCATTAGCAGCAGTGAGTCGCTGCTTCTTCAACGACAGCAGCATTTGGACTTTACTCATGTTTCCTAGATCACCTTTTCCTGCAGACTCCGTTAAACACACCGTTTCTCTCTCCGTCAAACTCTCAATCTGACTAGTGTTGCTAACGTGTTTCCAGCTAGCATGCTAAGCTAGCTCCTGTAGGCGAAGGTAAACGCTCCAGAAAAAAGAGCACACAGTCCATTCGGAGGTTTATCCAGACACACAGATGATGGATCAGTAGAGCTGGAGCTCACACACACTTTCTCAGGAACACACAGAGAGAACCGTAGCGACGAGACGCGGCATGGATCCAGGTTCTTCTTCTTCTTCTTTTTCTTCTTCTTCTTTTTCTTCTTCTTCTCTCGGTTTTTGGCAGATTGCAAACAGCTTTAAGGTGCATACCGCCACCTACTGTACAAGAGAGTATATCACCATATCATCCTATCACCACTTGTGGAATTATACCATTGTGTTGTTTACGTTGTTTTAAATTCTTCCAATCAATCCTGTTCCACTCAAATACTTAAGAATGGCCTTCCTGGTAGCTCTTACCCCCTCACCTTCTGTTCCCAGTGTCTCCATCAGGCTCCACTCCCTTCCTGGTAGCTCTTACCCCCTCACCTTCTGTTCCCAGTGTCTCCATCAGGCTCCACTCCCTTCCTGGTAGCTCTTACCCCCTCACCTTCTGTTCCCAGTGTCCCCATCAGGCTCCACTCCCTTCCTGGTAGCTCTTACCCCCTCACCTTCTGTTCCCAGTGTCCCCATCAGGCTCCACTCCCTTCCTGCCTCTCTGACCCTGTCTCTTAGTTGTTCCCTCTCTGTTTTGTACATGTTACAGTGTAATATGAAGTGTTCCACATTTTCTTTCACTCCACACGCCCTGCATTCTTCAACTTTTCGCATTATAAACATTGTTCCGTTTAATTCTGTATGATCCAATTTGCGTCTAGTGATGATCTCCTCCCGTCTGTTCCTTTCTGTATAGATCTTAATTATGACTGATTTCTGTAACTTGTGGTATCTCCTCCCTTTCTGATCTTCCTCCCACCTTGTCTGCCATATTTCCATACCCTTCTTCTTAATGATTGCTTTTCCTTCTCCTTTCCCAAGTGAAACTGGTATTGCTATTTCCTTTTCTAACGCCTCTTTTGCTAACTTATCAGCATGCTCATTCCCTTGAACTCACTCATGTGTCTGGCGTTATATTTGTGCCTCTATCCTGAGCGCGCAATGAAACATCTTGAGCATAGAAAATGCTATTGAGCGCGCACTTGAACATTTTTGAGCACAGAGAAATATATTTTCTCTCATAAAACTCCTGCTCCGTGCGCAAGCAGACCGCTGCACGCGCTCTCTCTCCCTCGCTCGACCTCTCCACCCTGTGCGCGCTCAGCTTTCTCTGCCTGCTAGCTTAAGTTGTCACAGCGTTACAAATGTGCCACAAAACCAACCAATCGGAGAACTCGAGAAGGTCAATTCTGATTGGCTGGTCGTCTCCAATCATATCTGAGATACAAGAAGAGAGGGATTTTCCGTTGCCATCAGGCTGTTGGCGTTCTTATTACACATCCATCGTTGACATTTACAGGACATGACATACAGTACTCGAATGAAGAGAATAGTACGCCACAGTGTCAGGTGAGTTATACATTTCTCATTTTCTGATATCACGTTATTGTTTGCAATGCCTTTGACGAAACCTTTTGTCCGATCGTTTCAGATAAGGGTGAGTTTGCTAGCCGGCAACATAGCTATAGGGGCATGGGCGGCAACCAGTGGCGTAGCCAGGAATTATTGTGTGGGTGGGCCTGGAGAAATGTAGGTGGGCCAGGGGTAGATATATTAAGCGTGGGGTCTGAGCTGAAACTTCATTAATGATTTTAATGATTTTTTAATGCACTAAAAGAACATAAGCATAAATTAGCAGTGAAAACAAAAAATAGGCACGGCGGCCTCAGAATGTGTGTAAAACTGACATCCACATAGGGATGGGTATCGTTAAGGTTTTAACGGTACTACTACTTTTATCGATTGCGCTTATCAATCCGGTCCTTTAACAGTACTCTTATCGGTTCTTTTGGAGAAAAAAATAAGGTAAACTAACTAAACAAATTGTGAACAAAACTAACATTGCTTTTTATTTAAATTAAATACATAATATTTCACATCACAAGAAACAAATTGCTCGTGTTACCGCCCTTACATGCTAAACTCTTATTCCACTTTTGGTAACGAGTATTGTCCACATCGACACGGCTATAGTTTTTTCTCTCCGCCATCTCCTCCGTGTGTGTGTTGCTGCATGTAGCAGCTGCGTGTGTGTAAACTGCCCACAGATGGGGGAGAGAGATCTCTCGTCTGGATTGGAAAGATCTAAAATACTAAAAATAATCAGACGCATTTTGCTATCTTTTTGCATATTAGAAACGGAGTTGGCGACACTTAAACTGCAATGTAATGTTTGTGTAGCAATAATACATACGACATATATCGGGGGCACAGGTTGTTTATCCTTGACAGTCGCACAGTGGGCACACACTGAGTGTTTTCATATTCAGCAAATGTGTACACGCTAAACTGCAGACCTCAAGAAGAAATAATACTTTCATTCACTCATGGCAAAAGTTACTTTACTTACTATAACAACTCACGGTAAAAAAAATGCACTCCCTATTCCATTGTCATTAAGGTGGAATCTAACTATATCCAGAATAAGTTTTATTGGATCCAGGCTAGAAACATGTTTATTTCTGCTGTAAAGTTGGGCATTTTAACATGGGGGTCTATGGGAATTGCTCCTTTTTGCATCCATCCCCTGTTGGCCACTAGATGAACTGCAGTTTGTGGCACTTCCTTCTGGGCTTCCCGGCTATGCGCTATGAAGCACTGATTGGCTGTGGGTGGCCCACCCACCTCCTGTGTGACGCGCCGGAGGAGAGCTGTCCGAGCTGCTTAAAAACCAACAGGTTTTAAAGACAGCCGGTTATGCAGTGAGCCATGTTGCCTATAACCCACAGGTTAGGGGCAGCCGGCTTACCCGGTGGGCCTTGCTGCTTATTATTATCCATCTGTCCATCGAATACACGCGTCGCCACTCTGAGTAATACTCTGAGAGCGCACGCATGTTTTGGATGTGCTGTGGTTTGTCATGGTGACGAGCCAGGTCAGAGCCCTCGCCGCCGTTGCCCGTGAAGCAGCCCAAGAGGGACTCGGACCGAAAAGGCTGCGAGGGGCCCTCCACACGCTGCATCTCACACCGGCTCTCATCCTGTCTCTGTTTCGGAGAAGGCTCGTAAACTGGACATTGAGGCGCGTTCACGCTCAAACCCGCTGAGGGAGTGAGCGGAGGTGTGTGCAGTGCTATTCACACAGTGCGTAATAACAGCCCTAGGCTCATTACGACCGTGTGTAGTATAGGCACATCTGGGACAGAGGAAAAACCGTGCTGCTTATATAACCGACAGGTTAGGAGCATCAGGTTTAACCGTCAAGCCCTGCTGTCTAATAACCGACTGGTTGATTACAGCTGGCTTGTGCCGCAAGCCTCGCTGCCGCGCTAACCAACAGGTTACAGCCGGCTCAAACGGCGAGCCCCGCTGTCTGTTAACCGACAGGTAACAAACAGCTGGCTTATGCACCTCCACACGCTGTATTACACAGCGGCTCCCCTCATGTCGCCGTTTAGGAGAAAACTCGTAAACCGGACATTGAGGTTCACGCTCAAACCTGCTTGAGGAATGAGCGGAGGCAGGGGCGGATCTACCGGGGTGGCATGGGGTGGCAACTGCCACCCTAAACAATAGCCTTGCCACCCCAGCTGCCACCCCAGTTGGCATCTTTGTTTTGAAAGAAAAGTTGTGGCTCATCGGACACTTATGAGAGAAAGTCTCTAATGTCCGAGTGCAAGTGAATGCAGCACAAGATACACGTCATGTAACCCCTCCCCCGGTCCTGGCGCGAGAGTGGAAATATGATTGGTGGCGAATTCACTTGAACGGGGGGACGGCGCAAAACGAGAAGCCTTTCGGACCCAAGCACTGAAGGAATGAGGTAGTTGCGGTCTACAATGAGAGAGAAGAGACTGTCAGTTTGGCTGTACTCAGCATTGAATCAAAACGCACTACAGCTGTTGATCTTAATACGTTTGTGAGGCGTTTTGCTTAACAAAATAGTAATCGCCGCATTCAGCTGTAATAGACATGCCAACTTGTTGCTCTGCTCACGGATGACTTGATGAGAATAACAAACTGTTAAGATGATGACCTTGTATGCGTGTATATATTTTTTTCTTTGAGGGGGTCTGCCCCCAAAAAACAGTTTTAAGTCCTGAGAAAGTAAAATAAGACGGTGTGTAAAACTACACTGCCCAGCCAACAGAAAGTAACCACTTTGATTGAACTAGGCCAGTAGGTAAGGACCTTCCACTGGATAATAACTGCAGCGATGTTTTATCTGAATACACGTTTTTTAACCCTAACTGACCCTAACCCTAACTGATGCAGTTAGTCAGTCTCTTTAATGTTTGTTCTTTCTGATGTAAAGTCAAGGTTGTAACTGTATATCAATAATGATATAATTACTTGTTTTTGAAAAGGAGGGTGAGCAAGCATCTTGATGAACATTCATCATTAACTCCTCCAAAAAATATAGTTTATTCAATAATAAATGAATATGTGAATCATAACAGTTCTTCACTATATCTGTAAAGCGTCTTTGAGCACCTGTAAAAACGCTAACAAATTAAATATATTATTATTATTATTATTTATTAACAGTGATTGACAGCTGATAGGAATAATATGATTGTTAATAGTATCATAATCATTCAGACAAACATCGATGAGACAGTTAATTAATGTACTTATTGCAGCAGTCTGCATAGATTTGGTTCCCCTGCTGGTCTAAGAGTGAGACAAACTCATTCAGTTATTGTTCAGTTAAAATTCAT